CCGTCACTTCCGCTGGCCTCTCCCTGCACCCTGTGCTGTGAAGGGCGTACATTCCTCATTTCCCTGGGAGCCAGGCGTGGTTGGCATTCCCATTCGCCGAAGCCCTGGACGTGGAGTGTGTGCCAGTCCAGCTGGTTGCCTGAGGTGGCATTTGCCTTGCACCCCTTATCAGGCCCCTCAAGGCCTCTGTAAACACTGGACCCTTGGACCAAACCTAGCATTCTTTTTTTTTTTTTTAATTGTTGTAGTTTAAATGAAGTTTACATTCCAAGTTAATCTACCATACAAAAATTTATACACACATTGACATGTGACCCTAATTGCTCTTCCCAAACTGTGACAGCACACTTCTCCCTTCCGTCCCTGATTCTCCATGTCCACTCAACCAGCTCCTAACCCTCTCCGCCCTCCCATCTCACCTCTGGACAGAACCTGCCCATCTAGTCTCTTGTATCTGCTTGAGCCAAGAGGCCCATTCCTCACGAGTATCACTCTGTGTCCCACAGTCCAGTCCAATCCCTGTCTGAAGAGTTGGCCTCGGAAATTGTTTTAGTTCTGGGCTGATAGAGAATCCAGGCGCCATGCTTTCCGGGGTTCCTCCAGTCTCAGTCAGACAATTAAGGCTGGTCTTCTAACTAGAATTTGAATTCTACACCCCACTTTTTTCCCGCTCCATCAGGGACTCTCTGTTGTGTTCCCTGTCAGGGCGGTCATTGGTCGTAGCCAGGCACCAGCTAGTTCTTCTGGTCTCAGGCTGATGAAGTCTCTGGTTTATGTGGCCCTTTCTGTCTCTTGGGCTAATACTTTGCTTCTGTCTTTGTTGTTCTTCATTCTCCTTTATTCCAGGTGGTTGGGACCAATTGATGCATCTTAGATGGCTGCTTGCAAGCTTTTAAGACCCCAGATGCCACTCACCGAAGTAGGATGCAGAACATTTTCTTAATAAACTTTGTTACACCAGTTGACCTAGACATCCCCTGAAAGCGTGGTTCCCAGATCCCTACCCCTGCTACTCTGTCCCTCAAAGTGTTTGATTATATTCAGGAAACTTCTTAGCTTTGGTTAGTCCCGTTGTGCTTACTTCCCCTGTAGTGTGTGCTGTCCTTGCATTCACCTAAGATAATTCTTATCTACCATCTAGTTAGTGAATAACCCTCACCATCCCTCCTCACCCTTGTAACCATCAAAGAATGTTGTCTTCCATGTTTAAACCTTTTCTTGAGTTCCTATAATAGTGGTCTTATACAATATTTGTCCTTCTGTGACTGACTAAATTCACTCAGCATAATGCCGTCCAGATTCCTCCATGTTATAACAAATCTAGCATTCTTGAAGCCCTCTTCAGAGAGAGGGAAAGCTGCGAGTCCAGACGAGTCCAGCGTTGAGGCGCACACGTGGCTGCTATGTGCCATTGGGACAGCTTCCAGGAAGGGCAGCTTTCTGGGACCCACTTCTTCCTGAACTCAGCCCCATCCAAGCCCTGAATGTGGTCTGAGGGCCTGGGCAGAGGGATGGGCCATTTGGCCAGTGTCCAGAAACCAGCTATGTTCTTCAGACTCTTTACAGCCCTTTTTCTCGAAAACTAGCTTTCCTGACTCCAGGAACACTGTCTTCTGTCCTGATTCTAGGGCCTTCCGAGGAGCGAGCTGCCTCTCTAGTACCTTTTCTACTCATTTCTTAGAAGGGTTCATCAGTATTACATAATCTCAGGGCTGGAATCAAACGACCAGCTATTCACCTTTTCAAACCTTCATCAAATATTAATTAAGCACCTACTCCAGGCCAGGGTCACCCCAGAACACCTGCCCAACTCCGCTCTCGGAAGCACGCCCACTTGTCCACGTTCCTTGGTCTCCTAGCAACCAGTAGAAACTCTGACCTGAGCTCCAGCCAGAACAGATGCCATTTTCTCCCTGACTGCTGTGGCTTGTTGCCTCTCTGGACCTCTGAGGACCCATCCATGCAGCTCTCTGTGACCACGGAAAGCCACCACTGATCCCCAAGTTCTCCCAGCACCCCGGCCCAGCAACCCCTGCCTGCAGAATGAGTTTCTCACTCACATTCACTGAGCTGGTGAACATCGCCATCCCGCAGAGCGGAATGGTGAACTTCCGAGCCCTGCATCTGCTGCTGCACGGCATCCTGGAGCACATCCACATGGCTGAGTTGAAGAAGGTCCTCTCGGGGGACGAGGACTTCCTCCAGACCTCGCAGGTTGTGCACATGCCCAGGGAAGGAGATGCCCAGCCCATCTTGAACCCCATGAAGAGGCTCGGCAACGTCTTTGACCATGTGGTGAACCGCATCAACAAGCTGGAAAACCAACTGGCCATACTGCAGGAGCTGCCCTCCACCACCCAGTTGCTGGAGGCCAGCCAGGGGACCAACAAGCCCATGCACGACCTATGGAACCTCATAAAGCTCCGGAAGATGGTGCAGGGCAATGAAGAAGCCACAGAGAAGGTAAGCCACCCAGCCTCTAGAACACTTCCAGTACTCTTTCCCTCCAGTGAGAGAGTAGAACTGCCCTGTAGGGGTTTCTAGGCTGTAATCTTTACAGGAGCAGATCTCCAGGTCTTTCTCCCGTAGAGCCGATGGGTGGGTTTGAACCGCTAACCTTTTGGTTAGCAGCTGAGTGTATAACCAAAGCATCCTGCCTCCCACTCCCTTGTGGCCTTATCTGATGAGCCCTCCCCTTATAACAAAGAGCCCTGGTGGCACAAAGGTTAAGTGCTCACTCGGTTGCCAACCGAAAGGTCGGCAGTTTGAATCCACCCAGTAGCTCCGTGGGAGAAAGACATAGCGATCCGCTCCTTTAAAGATTGCAGCCTAGAAAACCCTATGGGACAGTTCTATTCTGTCATGTGGGGTCGCCATGAGTCAGAATTGACTCAACAGCACCGAACGACAATAGGCCCTTATTTTTTTTTTTATTGTTGTACTTTAAGTGAAAGTTTACAATTCAGGTTAATCTTTCATACAAAAATTTATACATAGTTATGTGACCCTAATTGCTCTCCCTATACTGTGACAGCACCTTCCTCCTTTCCACCCCAGATTTCCCACATCCATTCAACCAGCTCCTGACCCTCTCTGCCTTCTCATCTCACCTCTGGACAGGAGCTGCCCATTTAGTCTCATGTATCTACTTGAGCTAAGAAGCACACTCTTCATGAGTGTCCTTTTATGTCCCATAGTCCAGTCTAATCTCTGACTGAAGAGTTGGCCTCGGGAATGGTTTTAGCGCTGGGTTGACAGAGAATCTGGGGGCTATGCTTTCTGGGGTTCCTGTATTCTCAGTCAGACCATTAAGTCTGATCTTTTTACTAATAACAGCCCCTTATGACAGAGAGGAAGAACAGGGCTTTGGAATCAGAGAGAACCAAGGCCCCCAGTTCACATCCTTCACCAAATATTAACCAAGTGCCCACCAAGCGAGAGGTTCCACGTTAGTCACTGGGGGTTTGATGTGAACAGTAGCTCATGTCCTAGTGGGGGAAAGAGACAGAAAGCAAGTGGATAAAAACTACAAGAACTAGCCGCATAACAAGGGGAAAAGGAGCATTATCCCTGTGTTATAAGTGAGGAAACTAACGCTCAGAAATGTGTGCTAGTTTACTGAAGGTCCAACAGTGAGTGACGGGTGCAATAGGGAGTTGAACAGAGCCCATCTGATTCCAGGCCCTCCCGCTGACCACTGTATCCACTGTCTCCCTTCCAGGCATATAGTAGGCGCTCGATAATGGTGGCCCAAGAAGGAATAAGAATTTCCAACTTGATCAAACAGTTCCTCACTGAGGAATTGACTTCCTTGAATTTTCACCATCAGATTTTCCTTCTTTTTAATTTTTTTTCCCTCATAATTCAACAAACCTATCTGAAGGCCTGCTTTCTTACTACCTGCAGGCTTCTGGCTGGAATGGGAGGCAGTGGGTGGGTTGCTGCCATACCAGGCCCAGCACCCCTTGTGTGCTTCTAGAGAGGGCGTCTGGGCGTCTGGGCCTGACATGCAAAAAGCCCTGGTCTGATGGGGAAGCTCCTTCACGTTCCTGTTGTCTGCCTGGAACTTAAACTTGGCTTTGTTCAGGGCTGCCCTGGCAGGCCTGCTTGGGGCTCAGTGACTTCACTGCCCAGGCTGGGCTGAGCTGTCCACTTAGGGTTGGCCACCTTGCAGCCCCTACAAGGAGATAATGGTGCCACGATTCAACTCAGCAAATCGGCTATAACTCATCTGGCTTATTTAAGTGGGGCCTGTTTAAATAGGTTTTAGTCCTAAAATATGAATGTATAAATAGCCCTTTGCTTATTTTCAGAGTTGTTCTGTTGGAGTCACCAAACGGTATAGGGTGGTGGCTTTAAAACTGCACAGACCCATATTCTTTCATCCACCCATCCATTGGTCCATCTGCCCATCCATCCATCCAATCAACAAATGTTAACTGAGACCTGTACCCTGGGGACTCAGTGGTGATTAGGACAGACATGGTTCCTGCCCTCCTGTAGCTCATATCTACTGGGGTACAAGGATGCCGATTAGACACTAATGGATTACTTTAATTGGTCTTTTTTTTTCTTTCAGTCCTGGTAAGTGCTACAGAAGAGAAGTTTACAGGCTCTGGGAGGTGTAACTGGGGACCTGATTGAGTCCTTCAGGTATCAGGGGAGGCCTCCGGGGAAAGTGACCTTGGAGCTGCATTCTGAAGGATGAGTGGGGATGACCTAGGGTAGGAGAATTTCAGGCAGAGGAAATAGCTTGTGCAAAGGCCCTGAAACAGGAGGGAGCAAGACATGCCAGAGGGACAGAGAGGAGGCAGCTGAGTCTGGAAAGCAGACAGTGAGGATGAGGGTGAGTGTGAAGAGGTGAGTGGGTGTGGACGGCACCTAGTAGGGAAGCAGTGAAAAGCCCAGTGCTGCTCCTTTCAAGCTGTGTGGCCTTGGACCGCTCAACCTCTTTCACCTCAGTTTTCTGTAACATGGAGAAAATAAAAATAATACCTGATTGGGTTGTTGTGTGGGTTAAATGAGGTAAAGGATTATTGACGCCTGACCAAGGTCAAGTAAATCTTAACTGTTATCACTGTTACGTGCTGTGTTAATTTCTTATTGTGTCTGTAACAAATTATCAGAAACTTGGTGGCTTAAACAACACGAATCTATTATCTTGTAGTTTTGGAGGCTGGAAGTCCCAGCTGGGTTTCACTGGGCTAAAATCCAGGTGTCAACAGGGCTGCATACCTTTCTGGAGACCCTAGGGGAGAATCAGGAGCCCTGGTGGCACAGTGGCTAGGTGCTCCTCTGCTAACTGAAAGGTCGGTGGTTCAAACCCACCAGCCGCTCTGCAGGAGAGAAGACCTGGCAATCTGCTCTTGTAAAGATTTCACCCTAGAAAACCCTATGGGGCAGTTCTACTCTGTCCTGTAGAGTCACTATGAGTTGGAATTGACTCGATGGCATCTAGCAACAACAGCAGGGGAAAATCCATTTCCTTGCCTTTTCTAGCCTCTAGAGGCCTTGGCTTATGGCACTTCCTCCATCTTCAAGGCCAGCAGCGTAGCATCTTCCAGTCTGTCTCTGACTTCTGCTTCCATCTTTACATCTTCTCTCTCTCACTCTGATCCTAGTACCTCCTTCTTATAAGGACCCTTGGGACTGATTACATGGGGCCCACCTGGATAATTCAGCAGTCTCCCCATCTCAAGATCCTTAGCTTCATCACATCTGCAAAGTCCCTTTTGTTGTGTATGGTACCATATGCACAGGTTCCAAGGATTAGGACGTGGACATCTTTGGGGGCCATGACTCAGCCAGCCATAACTGTGGCGTACCTGCTTTGTGCTGGGCTCTGGGCCAAGTCCTTGGGTCAGAGAGGCTGACCCTGCCCCCCAGTACTCAGTCTGGCTGAGGGTAAATAGCCTCATTGCCTGGAAACATGTAGAGGAGAGCCAAGGCTGGACTGAGTGAGGGTGGACGGCATTCTCCAGGGCCAGGCTCAGGGGTGGGGCTGGTGGGTCAGGACTGGGAGTGCAGCCAGGCTGGGGACTGGGTCAGGCATGTGGCTGTTCCCTAGGTCCCCACAACCGTCGGTGTCACCAGAACATCCGGGAGAAGGCCTCTCTGTCCTCTCATCCTCCCATTGGCCAGCTCAGAGGACCAGAGGTAGAGGGCAGGCCAGCCTCTGGCGAGCAGGTGGAGGAGGCTGGAGGGCAGGTGTGCAGGGGCAAACGGAGGATACCCATCACCCTGGGGACCACTGCGAGGTGCCCCACAGAGAGGACTGGGGACAAAGTGTTGGAAGAAGAGAGGTGGGGTGGAAGCAGCAGGCATGACCCTGGAGTTGTTGGTTGCTGTCAAGTCGACTCCAACTCATGGCGACCCCACCTGTGTTAGAGTAGAACTGCTGCATAGGATTTTCAAGGCTGTGACCTTTCAGAAGCAGATCACCAGGCCTGATCTCCAAGGCACCTCGGGGTTGGTTCGAACTGCCAGCCTTTTGGCTAGTAGCTGAGCGCTTAGCCATTTGCACCACCCAGGGATTCCTAAAAAGTCTCTCTAGACATTGCCAAGTGCCCACTCTGGTGGGGGGGAGACAAAATCGTCGCAGTTGAGAACCCCATGGTGAGAAAACCTGGGCTCCCAGCCGGGCTCTCCCCGTCCTGACCCTGTAATCCCTGGGGGCCCGGCCCAGTGCTTCCCACGCCGGCCTGCACACCAGGCCCACCCAGGGAGTTTCTTCAAAGTTGCAGATTCCCAGGCCCGGCCCCCACCCCCTGGTTCAGCCTCTCAGCAGCACCCTTGAGCTTGTGTTTTAGAAAGGTGAACGTGGGAGCCGTGGTCTGGGCCATTGAGGCCTTGGTGTTCTCGTCTGTAATAATAAGCCAGGCCAGCTGCAGAGGAAAAACGCGGGACAGCATCAGCTGTCGTTCTGTCTAAACTTGGTTTCATAAATAAAGTGGTGGGTCCCAGGCTTGGAGAGATTTTAACAACCTGTCGTCTTTTTAAATTTTACTTCTCCAAGAAAAAAACACCTGCTGTATTTCATACAAACTGGAATGCTTTTAAATTTAAATAGATTTTTTTTTTTTATAATTTCATAACATCATTTAAAGGCTGTTAAGGACTGAATTGTGTCCCCCCTGAGATGTGTTGAATTCCTGGCCCTCATACCTGTGTTGAATTCCTGGCCTTCATACCTGTGGATGTGATTCTGTTTGGAAAAAGGGTTTTTCTTTTGTTATATTAGTGAGGTCATACCAGTGTAGGTCACCACTCGTCTGTCAGTTTATTATACCTTGATGGCTTGCTTGTTGCTGTGATTCTGGAAGCTATGCCACCAGTATGTCAAATACCAGCAGAGTCACCCATGGTCGACAGGTTTCAGTGGAGCTTCCAGACTAAGACAGACTAGGAAGAAGGACCTGGCGGTCTATTTCTGAAAAAATTGGCCAGTGAAAACTTTATGAATA